GGCATTCACTGAACACAGGAAAGCCCACAGGTGTGCGAGGAGAACTCGCTGGAAACGCGTTAGTGGGTTTAAGAAAGGAGACAAGGCACAGCTGACAGCCCTGACAGTGCGATCAGTAACACAGTTAGAAAGGACATTCACCGAACGCTTCCGAGTGCCCGTGGGACAACCACAGCAAGCTGCAGTAAATCCTACACCCTGGCTCGGGGTGCAACACAGCCAGGAAGTAAATCAGCAGAAAAACCAGAAGCTTCCACCTGGAAGACAATGGAGACAAACTTCTTGTCAGATGATGTAGAAAGCACTGGCAAGGAGAAGACACAGTCCAGGAAAGCAAAAAGGCGGCAAGGTGACTCTTCAGCATCCTGCTGGACCACGGCCCACCTCAGTGGATGTGACTTTGCTGCCTGGAACCCAAAAGCTGCCTCTTCAGTCCCTCCAAGCAGGAGGCCCTGGTGGAAAGGTGACAATATGCACTGGCCTCTAGAGCCTGGAGAAAAGGTGACCCGCTGTCACACCCTTGCTGTCCTGAGGACACACATGGGCCAGGCCTGAACACCACATGTCTTCCTTCATCAGCTCTTTCCCATCAAGGTCCAGTTCCTTAGAGCCCTGGAGCCTCTCTGCCATGAGCGCTGTGGCCACGTCTGGGCAGACAATGGAGGAGTGTGCTCTTACAATTGTCTTCAGAAACTGCTGGTCAGCTGACGGAAGGACAGAGTGCTGGGTAGCTGCAGCCCACAGGCCTGTTTGTTTGTAACAAGAACTCAGAGAGCAGCTCAAGAGCTACAAAAGACAGCCCAGCTGAGCAGACAGAAGACTTAATGAGGGCTTAGTAAGAAATTAATGATATGAAAGACAGAAAATGACAGGCTCAATAAAAAGAATACAAAAGTTGGTTCTTTAAAAAATAAAATAAAAACCTAGCAAATCTAAACAAGGGGGAAAAAGATACACAGAATAAAAAACGTCAATGAGAAAACAGACCCAGATACAGAGGAAATAAAAGTCCACCATAAAAGACTACCTTGTTCAACTCTATGCGTGTTGAAATCTGGATGAAATGGGTGCTTTTCTAGGAAAATATTACCGATTTGACTCAGGAGAGGCCAACTACCACAGGAGCAGACTGGGCATGGTGGTACACACCTGTAATCCCAGGTACTTGGGAGGAGGAGAAGGAGGATCTCTGTCTATGGCTCACTGGGTAGAAGCTCAAGACCCTATGTGGAAGGGCGGGCTGGGGTGTGACTCAAGTGGTAGAGAGCTTGCTAAGTGCACTGCCCTGAGTCAAAAAATTGCTACAAGAGAAATAGATTGTTGTCAAAGAGCTACATCACTTGTGCACACACACATATATGTGCACACACAAACACACACGTGTGCGCACACACAAACACACGCTTGTGCACACAGGAACTTATCTTCTACCCTTTTGGTTCTTTCTTGGGAGCTTGCAAATTAAACTGACAAAAGACAGATTAGTGAAACAAAAGACAAAGTTTATTCATATGTGTACTCAGGAGCTCGTGAAGAAAGTAGCTCAAAGAAACTTAGAACTTGGTCTTATTATTTTTTGGCAGTGCTGGGGTTTGAAGTCAGGGCCTTGCACTTGGTAGGCAGGTGCTGTACTGCTTGAGCCATCCCACCAGCCCGTTTTTGCTTAGTTACTTTTTGGAGAGGAGCTCATGCTTTTGGCCAGGGCTGGTCCTGGGCTGCAGTCCTTCTACATATGCTTCCTGTGTAGCTGGGATTGCAGGCACAAGCCACCTTTTATACCATCTCAATAAGGGAGGAGGCTAGAGTTTCAAGGGACAGGAAATGGTGGGAAATGACTGGGAGGAATGAGGGGGCTAACGAAAAGTGAGGCTGTTTGCACCATGTCTCACCCCAGGGCTGACTTCTCATCCCAGGAGAAGGGACTCTTGCTTTCTCCTCGTGTCATCTTTCCCTAAAGGTGTTAATGGCAGCTGAACCCCTTGGAAGGTTCTGCTTTCTGCAGATGAGGCGAGTGTAAAGAAAAGAAAAATGTGTCCCGAATTTTGTTGATTCTCAAAATACAAATCGGCTCAAAATAACCTTTAAGCCACAGTAGCACATTCTGTGCTCAGACACAGGCACATATCTACACACACATACACACACACACACACACACACACATGCACTTACACAATAAACACAGGCACATGTGCTCATACCCCAAAACGTGTAATGTGCACACGTGTACCCACACACCTCTCCAAACAAGAAGAAGAAGAAGCGGTTTAAGGACCATAATCCCAACCTATGACAGAGGCTGAGTCCAAATCCTCAGTGCCACGAGAAGCTGTAGAACAACCGCACTGATCGATATCAGGGTGCAAATTCTAAGTAAAATGTAGCAGCCAGGAGAACAATGAAAGGAAGGCACAGGGAAAACCTCCCAGCTCCACCGTCTGAGAGGCGTCAGTCTTGGCATTAATCCATACCTTGAGCACGACCCAGTGAAAACGCTAACAGTATGGTTTGGTTTTGTAGTTTGTGTATTTTTTGACAAGACCAGATGATTCTGTGTTCACATGGAAATAAACATGCAAATATAGCCTGGAAGACACGAAGAACACAGACTTCAAGAGAGGAATGGCCTGGCACGGCAGATGCTGAAACATATTGTAAACTGGGAAAACCAAAGCAGCTTGTGTGCGCCCAGCGTAGACAGAGACACAGGGCAGAAACCCAGATCTGAAAAGCACACAGGATGGAGTGGGTGGGAGAGGCGCCCGCCTGGCTCACTCCTAAGGAAACCCTAACCCTAACCCCTAAGAAACAGGCTAAGTGCGAGAACGCGAAGCCACAGGTGCTGAGAGGCAGCGTGGGGCAAGGGTCAGTTACAGGCTTGGAATCAAGCAGGACTTTCTAAGGGGACATGGAGGCAGCCTGATACACTCAGTTACATTTGATTTTTAAAATTCTGGCTGACAGAAATCAAAATAAGCAAAATCAAAGAAAATAATAACTAAGTATGAGAATGTTTTAAATTCATGTCACAAAGTGGCAATTTCCTTGATGTATAAATTGCCTGACAAATGCATCCAAGATTGCCAGTAGCTGGTTAGAAAATGATGACCAGCTGACAAAAAGGAAATAAAGCTGAGACCTGCAGGAAGATCCCTAAATGAGCTCACCATAAACAAATGCAGGCTGGAAGTGCACTCTCTCATCACTCTGGTGCTGTTCAATGAAGTCTGACAGCAACCCGTGTAGACGGTGTGGAGAAGCAGCCATGCTTGTTCCTTGTCAGTGGAAATATAAATCAATACATCATTGGTGGGGAGCAGTTCAGCAATATTTGAACTGTGAGATGCACCTCGGATGCCATAACTCCACCTGTAGAATCCTCGAAAGACAGGAAGAAAGGCAGGCAGGCAGACATGCAGAGGGATGGCCATGCAGGGAGACAGACGGACACAGAGGCAGGCAGACACAGATGATCAGAATGTACACTTTGGCACAGGGATTATTTTGAGTGGAAGGAAACTGGGAAGCAGATGCAGGGAACACTGTGTTCCCCTTTTCTCACCAAGAACAATCGCGGGGGGGGGGCGGGGGGGTGTCCCCTGCTGTCTCCCACAGGCCACCTCCGCACTGGAGACAGCTCCAGCCTGAACAAACCTTACTGAAATAACCGTCAGCCTCCATTAGTTTCCCCATATATTAACCTGCCCACAATTTATGGCTGCTAGAGGCTTGAGCCATTTTCCTTTGTTGTTCCATCTTCCAAAGATGTATCACTTCCTACTGGAGCAGCATGTGGTTCTCAGGCCTACCTAGCTGCGGGTTTGTGTTCTCCCTTCCTTTCTGTGTGATCCCCACGTACATCTAAAAATTAAAATATGAGCATCATCTAAAACTTGAATCTTGTTAATCTGTCCTTTCTCAGTATAATTTGTAAGGCCCAGGTACTGAATTGAAGAGGGCAGAGGAAAAGGGTTTTATTCCTTTCAATAGACAGAAAACAAGGAGGCACGCAGTGGTTTTCCAGTGCAAGCTGGCAATGTCTGCAGGCGTTTTTAGTTGTCACGACTGGGGTTGGGGAACAGTGCTCCTGGGATCTAATGGGTTACAGGCCAGGGATGCCAATCAACATCCTCCAGCACACAGGACAGTTCTCAAAGCAAAGAACTAGCCCCAAGTGTCAATCAGAGCCTTGGTGTAGACAGTGGGGAGTCTCTGCGATGGCACACAGAGGCCATCCACAAACCATTTAGTGGGAAAAAAGTGAGGCGGAACAGGGTGTGATACATGGCCACTTTTGTGAGCAAGGATAGAAGGTGTGTGCACAAGTCACCCGTGTGCGGTGTGTCTACAGGATGTACAGGAGAGGCAGGAGCACTGAATAAGGACTACAAACTTATCAAATAGAAATATGGGGAGCCAAGTTAAACATGACTGTCAGATAAATAATGAATAAGCTTTTTAGTATTTCCACAGAATACTTACAGATGCTCAACAGTACTAAAACGTTCTCATTATCTTGCATCCTGCTTACCTGGGTGCCCAAACTGGGTGGGGTGGAGTGGAGTAGCAGTGGAAGGTCTCTCTGGCTTTTCTGAACATATCCCGTATGAAGTTTTTCTGAGGGTGTGCTAACAAATTCAGAGGTCAAGGGGACAAGGTCAATGGGTGGAGAAAGATCCAGGGGAAACAGGCCATGGGAGAAATGCAGGAGGAGGCAGAGACCAGCGAGATCATTTCCAAGTGAGACTCGGGAAGCTGGCCATGCTCAGGCTACATGGGATGCTGGGATGCTGAGGTTGCTGGGATGCTGGCATACAGGGATGCTGGGGATGTTGGGATACAAAGGTGCTGGGATACAGGATGCTGGGATGCTGGGATGCTGAGGATGCTGGGATGCTGGCATACAGGGATACAGGGTCCAGGAAGTCGGTGTTCGTGATCTACCCTTGGGTCCAGGAAGTCGGTGTTAGTGATCTGTACAGGCAGCGACGAGCGGGTCCTTTGGCTGCGAAAATTCCTATAAAATGTCTCTCTACCCATCTCTTGAAGATTTGAAGGTAGACAAAGTAATTCAGGCTCAAACTGCCTTTTCTGCAAACCCTGCCAACCCGGCAATTTTGTCTGAAGCTTCTGCGCCCGTCTCTCAAGATGGAAATCTCTACCCTAAACTGTATCCGGAGCTTTCCCAATATATGGGACTGAGTTTAAGTGAAGAAGAAATATGTGCAAATATGGCCATGGTTCCTGGAGCACCAATTCAGGGGCAATTGGTAGCACGACCTTCCAGTATGAACTATATGGTGGCTCCTGTAACAGGCAATGATGTTGGAATTCGTAGAGCAGAAATTAAGCAAGGGATTCGTGAAGTCATTTTGTGTAAAGATCAAGATGGAAAAATTGGGCTGAGGCTTAAATCAATAGATAATGGTATTTTTGTCCAGTTAGTCCAGGCTAATTCTCCAGCCTCATTGGTTGGTCTGAGATTTGGGGACCAAGAGCTCCAGATCAACAGTGAAAACTGTGCAGGCTGGAGCTCTGATAAAGCACACAAGGTGCTCAAACAGGCTTTTGGAGAGAAGATTACTATGACCATTCATGACAGGCCCTTTGAACGGACAATTACTATGCATAAGGATAGTAGTGGACATGTTGGTTTCATCTTTAAAAATGGAAAGATAACATCCATTGTGAAAGATAGTTCTGCAGCCAGAAACGGTCTTCTCACTGAACATAACATCTGTGAAATCAATGGACAGAATGTCATTGGATTGAAGGATTCTCAAATTGCAGACATACTATCAACATCTGGGACTGTTGTTACCATTACGATCATGCCCGCTTTTGTCTTTGAACACATTATTAAACGGATGGCACCAAGCATTATGAAAAGCCTGATGGATCACACCATTCCCGAGGTTTAAAAGTCATGCACAACGTAAATAGAGCTGAACATCTTCAGTTTCCTTCTTCGGCAACTTCTGCATTATGCACATGAAGCTTTCCTGGAGCCGGGGAGCATATGCTGCATGAGGACCTTTCAAGTTTACATCATGGCTGGGAATCCTACTGTTTTGTCTGATATCTTCTTCAGATTTCAAGATAGTTGTAGCCTTATCCCGGATTTACAGATGTGAAACTTTCAAAAGATTTGTTGACTTTCCTAGAATAGTTTCTGTACTGGAAACCTGATGCGTTTATAAGCCATTGTAATTAGGATGACTGATGCAGGCTTAGCTATGTGTGAGAACCAGTCACCTTTCTCCTAGGTAATGCATAGTTTGGTTCATGTTACTTTAGTTCTATGGTATATTTGCATTTTTAATAGATTACCCATATTCATTTAGGATGACTGCCTTTAATAGTTTTTATTTTTTAAGTTCTGTGTGTGTGTGTAAAATGCCAATTAAGTAATACTGATTTCATTCCGTGAGCATTATACAGTATATATACGTTGCAAGAGATTGTGATGATTGTCATTAAATCTTAACTACCTTCACTTACTGTGCTTCAGCTGTCGCCTTAACTCTGTTAAGCATCTAGAATGAAAGCCAAAATACAATTATTGCTGCCTTTCTAAAATCCAGAATGTTAGTTCTATATTAAACTGAAATGTACACTAGCGCAGAACATTTTAATGGTACTTATTGAGCTTTAGCATAGCTGCTTAGTTGTACTTTGAAACTTTTGTAGTCATTGCATAATGGAAACTTCTTCTAAAAGTTGCCAGTACCACTTTCTGAAAAACAAATCACTATATATTTAATGCAAACTTCTTATACTAAACAGGATAACCTGTCCCTTTTTTTCATTTGTAGATCAGGTGGGATAATATTTAATTTTGGCATTTGAATCCAACATTATATAACCTAGCTCCTTTGGGATGGTCTTAGAATGTTTTCTTAGTAATGTCCTTAATTTCCTCATTACTCACTGTAAACAAAATGGCAGTAACACTTTATCCTGATTTTTTTCTTTTTGGTTTATGCCTCTCCTGTTTTAATTAAATGTGTATGAAGTCAAAAAAAAAACAGAGATACAGGGATGCTGGGATGCTGAGGATGCTAGGGTTGCTGGGATACAGGGATACAGGGATGCTGGGATGCTGGGATACAGGGATCCAGGGATGCTGGGATGCTGGGATCCAGGATGGTGGGGTGCTGGGAGGATAGGGAGGCTGGGATTCTGGTGAAGCTGGGGATGATGGGATGCTGGGGATGCTGGGGTGATGGGAAGCTTGGATACTGGAATGCAGGGATGCAGGGATGCTGAGGCCCTGAGATGCTGGGATTGTAATGCTGGTGTGCTGTATGCTTTGCTCCCTGTCTTTACCAGGCAGCAGCACACAGCCCACTCGTGGCCTTCCTTGGAACTGCAGGGATCCACCTGCCCCTGTTCTGTGGCTGCAGGTTTGGGAAAGGTGTAGATGTAAGATGGATGCACACCTCCTCTAAGCTTCCTCCTGCCCTGATGGTTAAGCTGCTCTTCCTGACAAGAAACACCATGCCCCTCCTCCTGTCGGTGCACCATGGTGTCAGAGCTTTCTACCTCCTTTGTTCTCTGTGGATCCCAAGTTTGGCCCTGAGCCTGCTTGGGTCTCTGAGGCTGAGAGGACTGCCTCCCACTAGCAGGGCTAATGGAGGGTGACACACACACACTGACGGTCACACTCCGGCACTCATACATGGTCACACACAGCACTCCATGTGCGGTCACACACATCCCATATTCACTCTAATACACTCGCACTGTTTCACACACACACTCATACAGGCACAAGCACACAGGTGTACTCACCACCCCACCCCCAAGAGAGGACCCTGGCACCCCATGGGTCTGAGGTCCCCTTGACTGGCCATGCCCCCACCCCACCTTGTCCATGGCCCAACACAACAGGGCCTCCTCTGTTGCCAGCCAAGGCTCCCACCCCACACTTCCTGATGCTCACGCTCAGGCCGTCCTCACACAAAGTCACTCTAGACCAAATTACTTCCCAGACTCCATGTCTGAATTCCCATGCCATTGTCAAAGTAGGCTCAAATGTCCTGAATGAGAAGCCAGGGCCAGGAAGGGCTACCAGGGTCTGATGACAGCCAGGCATGGGTCAGGCACACAGGCCCCCACAGCCTGGCCCACCCCACCTCTGGTGCAGGGGTGCAAGCAGTCTTCCCAGGGCCCGCAGCAGCTGGCCTTTCTGGAGGGGATGGCCAGCCGGCGTGGCTCCCACTCTCCAGCTGTGAAGTATACAGGAGGCTGTGAGCTATGTGAACCCTTAGGCAGCTGTGAGGAATTGCACAAACAAAGGCGGCCAGTGTGCTAAATCCAGGACTTCATCTCTGCTCTCACCTGGAGAGCCTGCTTGCCAGTTGTGAGTCCCCTTCACTACCCTCAGGGGAGAAGGACACCCCACTCTTCTGAGAGGGAGCTGGGAAGACTGGTTCAGCCAGTGTCCCTCTTGTCTCTTTCTTCCCCTTGCCTGTCCTCTGGAGCAAGAGTTCAGGCCCACTGATGTTCAGGAGACAGGAGAAGCTCTGTGTTTGACTTCAATTCTGTCATTTAATATACTTTGAGGTATTTTAAGGAATAATTAAGCCATCACCCTGCTTTTCACTAGGTGAAATTACAAATGATCAGAATTCTCACCACTTTCTGGTGAGTGTTACGAGTTTAATTGTATTCCCTGAAATTCTTATATTGGCCCCTCCAGCCTCAAAATGTGACCTTATTTGGAGACAGGGTCTTTACAGAGGTCACCAATCCAAAATGAGGTCAGTGGGGTGGGTTATAAGTCCAATGACTCCTGCTCTTATCAGAAGGGGAAATTTGGACACCGAGGCACATACACAGAAAAGATGCCACCTGCAAGCCAAGAGGGTGGCCTCAGGAGGAACCAGCCCTGAAACGCCTTGTCTTGGATTTCTGGTCTCCAGAACTGCCAGGCAATAAATCCAGTTGTTGAAGGTGCCAGTCTGCTGTCCTTTGTTAGGACAGTCCGGGATCACACGGAAGCCTGTGGGGTCCAGACTGGGAACCAGACAAGGAGCACTGTCTCTGTGTGAAAAGGCAGAATGACATAGTGAGGAATAAGCACACTGACCTGTGCTGGTTCTGGACTCGGCTCCGGTGCTCCTTGGACCTTCTTGGTGACAAGAGTGTCTTCTGCTCTCATTAGGAGACTCTGGGTGGACTTCTGATTGGGGCTGGTCACAAAAAGATCAAGACAGGATTAGAAGCTTTGAGCTTTCAGCATGCCCCTCCCCAGTCCAGGAAGGGGAAAAGAGAGGAGCCGAACATTGGTGAAGCATCTGTAAAAATCCCTGAACTATGGGGTTTGGAACACTTCTGGGTTTGTGAGCACATCCTCACCCCAAGAGCAGCACACTCCAAATTTCATGATGCAGAAAGCCCTGCATGGGGGGCCCTTTTGGTTCCTGTCACCTCTTCTCGTGGCTGTCTGCTTGGATCCTTCATTAGTTTTTATAATATAACCACAAATGTACATAAATGTTTCCCAAAGTTCTCTGAGCCCTCTAGCAAAGTATTGAATCTGAGGTGGGGGTCATCAACCCCCAATTTGTAGCCACATTGTCAGAAGTGTGGCACTCTAGGGGCCCACTTCTTGTGATTGGCACCTCAAGTGGACTGTCTTGTGAGACTGAGTCCTATCCTTTGGGGTCCAATGCTAACTCCCTTTGATGCAACACCAAATAGATTTAGAGAGTACCCATTGGTGCCTGAGAGAATTGCAGCACTCCTTTTTGGTAGGAAAACCCTGCATGTTCCATGTCAGAGGTGTTGGTGACTTTCTTCCTTTTTAGACATCAAGTGCAATGTGGCTTTGAGGGACAGGCAGGGTGGGCGTCAAGGACTTTCTGCTACAGGTGGCATCTGGGAGCAGGGAGAAGTCTGAGGAACAACCCTGGTATAAGCCAGCAGGGCTGGTTCACAGGTGCCCCACCTGGAGGAGGCATGGAGTCAGACCAGCGAGGTTCCTGCCCTGCCTCTGGGTGCTCCTTGCAGGTAAGGGACAGCACCTGCTCTACTGCAGGAGGGAAATGGACTTTCAAGGGCTGCGTGCGGCACCCCAAAACCTCCACACTCAAATCTTGGGCAAGCAAACTAGATTGTGGCCAACCTGAATGTTCCCGGCAAAATGAAATGTATCCAGCAAGGAAGATAACTTTGTGTCGCATTCTTGACATTTATGACTACCACATAACCAGAAAAATGAGTTTAAATATTTAATGGTCTCAGATGCAGAAAATCTCCTGCTACATAATGATTGGGACATACTTCCTTAGCAAGAGTAAGTATTTTATCATTGCTGTACCCAGAATCTTTATGAATAAACAAGATCCACTTGAGAGCTGTCTTGGAAAACAAGCAGATGGTGAAGCTGGCAGGATTTGAGGCATCTGCTTTCAGGATGGCACATTGCTCTATGACCCCTAGGACAACGGGACATTTAGGCTTCAAAATTAAACCAAGGAAGACCCTTGTCTGTATATGTCTCTATACAGGTGGACCATCGGGGAACCTCAGGAAGGTGTGAAAGCAATGCACGTTCAGTAGAAAACACCCTTCAAAATTTGAGTTTTGATCTTTTCTCTGGCCAGCGACGTGCAGGACAGTGCTGCCCTTGTGATGCTGGGGGCGGCTGACCGCAGCCCTCTGTCGGCTCCGTGGCACAGGGTGGACAACCAACAGACACACTGCGTTGCTGAGCCCCGAGGGCCAGCGGGTCTGGTGGAGTCACTGCACGTAGACCTCTGATGGGTGTGTCCAGACGTGGCCCCACCATAGGTGCACCCACATATATGGCACACATATGTCATGTACACGTGTGTGTATACACACACATATGTGTAACCTCATGCTTTGCATTTTAAACTTCATCTAAGAAACTTAGGCTTAGTGCTTGTCAGAGACCTGCCCACCCTTGCTCCTGTGGCTGGTGTTCCCATTCTAATCGTCACCAATGGGCATCCCAGGAAACATTTCCTCTGTG